GGATATCGCCGATGAAGTGGACGACGAATCGAGCCGCTTGGTTGCGCTCCCAACCGCTGAGCTTCGTATCTAGCGACCTGGTGGTGTAGTTTGCTAACGCAGTGACAACGCAGCCCTCCGCCTTGCAGTCCCTTTCAAAGTCGATGCCGCAGTAGTCAGGCGGGCTGTCGTGGGCATCGATGAAGTGGAAGGGACCCGTGAAATGACCCCATCTCGTGTAGCGAATGGTATCGGCCCACGTTGCGACGCCTGCCAGGTAATGCTCGGTGTCGTTCCGCAAAAGGTCCTGGAAGAAGGCCTCTGTGGTGTTGGCAACGAAGTGGCTCGCGATGTATGCGGTTGTGATGTGGCCCAAGCCTGCAGCGGTGAGGGTCAGCGGCAGCGACAACACTGGCGATACCGGAGACCAGCGCCTCCACCGGAGACGACTCCGGGAATGGCAGACGGGGCTCGGCGAAAGAGACACTTACTTCCCCACGCCACAGCACCGGGCAAGGACGCGCCAAGCAGCGCGACGGTGCTAGACAGCTTCATGGCTGCGTACAACGAGATCACGGGTGGTATCGAGGCTGGATTTGGTGGCACAATGCAAGCGACGAGTCCAAACTATCGCGAAATTGAGTACGCGAGATACGCTAGAAAACAAGACAGCAAGCGACGGAGACCTTTCAACCAAATACACCGTCCAAAGACAAGGCCGGACGACGCGAGCTTAAATGGCGACGCGTGGTCGGGTCACCAGCGCATCTGCATCCCCCACGTCAACAGGCCGCAGTGCAGGCCGGCAAGTTGGCCGAGGAACGGACCTCATCCAAGCATCTGCAGCACGCCCACCCACCATCAAGACTGCATCAGCCACAGCGAATCATGGCGGTGCAGGTGAGGGGCAGCCACGTGCCCCAGATCCGTCATCGGAAAAAGATGACGCCCGACGGATGTCCGGTGACCAACGAGTGGTGCCATTGAATGCAAGATTCCTCTGACAGTCTTCGATTGGTCACCGCCATCAGCAGGATCAACGGGCTTTTAGACTTCGGATGATGGGCGCCCATCGCATATGCATCAAGACAGCCAATCTGTGCAAATCTGGGCTGAGCTAGCCGGTTCATCTCGATGCTGATGCAAGGCAACAAGTAAGCTTGCCTACGCAGTAATGCTCTTTTCAGTGAGGCTTCTTCATCTCAGCTCTGGCTTGCAGCTCTCAGCTGCGATGACCAAATAACCTCGTCTCATTGGCGTGCTGAGCTCAGCTTCTTCCCACAGCACCCACATCAGAGAAAAAGTGGCGGTAAGCCCGCCTTTCCATCAGGTTTTGCGGGAGACTGGAGTCATGCCACACCGCCGTGACCCCCACTAATTTCCCTCTTGAGCGTGTCGCCAAGGTTTTTTCAACCCATTGGCTATGTCATGCAGGGTCCCGTCTCTTATCGCCGCGCTTGACCGCAACCGATAGCAAGATAACGGCGAGCAAGGTGGATGGTTGGACGACGGGTGGCTATCCGTAGCCGGCCTATCAATTCCTGCTGCGTGACTCTGCTTCCAGCCATCCCACTTGATCTTCCCCCAACCCACCTGACCACGGCCAGACACACGACAAAAGGCGGCTCTGCTCTTCCTCTCCCCTTGCTTCAGCAGACGTTACGCCAGTCCTGCACTGTTCAATCGCGTCTTCGGAGGAAATCAGACACCATGGCTTCATTCGCCGTTACGGCCTACGCCGCCTTATCGCAGACACCCAAAGTTGAAGATGCGTTATCCGGCATCTTTGGCAGCATCAGCTTGACCGCCTGGATCTGCCTTCTCGTGCGTCTTCCTAGAGAGTCTGCGAAGCACGTGAGCTTCCTTTTCGAGCTCTCAGATTGCTAACATTTGAACAGCTTCCCCAGCTTATCGCCAACTACAAGGCGCAAAGCGCAGATGGCCTCTCCATGGCCTTCCTCATTGTCTGGCTCCTCGGTGACGTGACGAACCTGCTAGGTAAGAAGAACACGACCCCGCGATACGTTTGACGCCTTCGAAACACCACGCGCCCCAATTCTCTGTCTGCCAAACTTGTCGTTACGACCCCCAACAACACCGAAAATTTCTCCCACTAAGAGAAGCACGCACTGACTCGAAAAACCTCCGAACAGGCGCCCTCTTCACCCACCTCGCGCCCACAGCAGTCGCCCTCGCCTCCTACTTCTGCGTCGCCGACCTCGTCCTTATCTCGCAATGCGTCTACTACAACACCAAGAACGCCCGCCGCGCCTCCCGCCGCCGCTCCTCCGCCCACGTCACCGCGACCGGCGCGGAGCCCACCGAAGACGAGCCCCTCCTCGCGCGCCGACGCTCCTCCTCTGCGGGCCTGCCCGGCTCCCACCGCCGCCACGCCGTGCACAACGAGAGCTCCCTCGACCCCCTCCGTAAGATGGTCACCGGCGAGGACGAGACCCCCGACAGCAACCCGTGGCTGCACAACACGCTGAGCATCTTCGCCGTGTACCTCGTCGGCGCGTTGGGCTGGTTCGTCAGCTACAAGGCCGGCGCGTGGAACTCGCCCGACATTGACGTCGGCGCGCCCGAGGAGGTCAAGGGCACCATGGAGAAGGTCGGCTTGTTTCTGGGATACGTCTCCGCCGTGTGCTACCTCTGCGCGCGCATCCCGCAGATCATCAAGAACTGGCAGGAGAAGTCTTGCGAAGGTACGTCTCTTTGGATATCTGCTATTTGAGGCTGTGCAACGCGTGCTAACGCAGTATTGAACAGGTCTCGCGCTGCTCTTCTTCCTCCTCTCCCTCACCGGAAACTTCACCTACGGCGCCAGCCTGCTCGCCTTCAAGCAGGACAAGGACTACCTCCTCAACGCGCTCCCCTGGCTCCTGGGGTCCTTCGGCACCATCGCCGAGGACTGCATCATCTTTGTGCAGTTCCACCTCTACTCTGGGCGCCGCGAGGCCAAGGACGGTGATCAGGCGTGATTGTGGAATGCATACGCACGTTGTCACGGAAACCTGCATGTGCGCGCTTGCGAGGCCACGCAAATATGCATCGTGTCTCGGTCGGATCTAGAGACATGATTCATCTTGCATCGGCCGGCACCAGCTGAAGAATATCGTGGATTTTTAATTTTTGCATGTTTGGACGGGCTTGGGGTGGGGGTGCTTGTACCAATTACGACTTTGCTGCATTTACGGCGTTATGGGTTTGATAGGTCACCACAGGTGCCTGCATATTCGGTCACGATGTTTTCTGTCTGACCATGAAGCATAGCTGCATATATAATGAATGCCGAATTTACGCTCTGATTTTTCTCAAAATCCAAAATTAGTGCACTAGGTATCGAGTGAGAACTTATTGCGATTATTACCGACTTTTGGACAGAATCTGATTTACTCAATCCGATGACCTACCATCTGAGTTGTGCTGGCTGAGAGACTTTGGGAGGAAGGTGGGGCGTGTCGCGTGCCGCGCATCATGGGTCACGTGAGCATGTTGAAGCAACAAGACCAACCTTTGGACATCGTTAGGCGAGTAAGAATGTGAATTTGAGTCTTCAGCTGCTAAATTACGCTTCATGTAACTATTACAAGTGGTTTTGAGACGATTTGAGGTCGTTGGGGGGGGGTTCTAGGCAAATTGTCACAAGAGTCATCTTTGTGAGCCTTTCTTGTCTATTACATGTATGTAAAATTGCACTTGAAAAATCACACATGCCACCACAACTGACAATTTGTCTCTAAAAGTCTATGAAATGGTAACTGAATGACACGTGATTCGTCACATAACTTTATTTTGTCACAAAGAGTTGGTTATGCAGCTGGAACCGAGTCATCTATCGCGTCGTCGCGGATGACGAACACCTTCGTCTCCTCGCAGCGAGCCATGCGTTGTGCCGCGCTCCCGACGGGCCTTTAGAACAGATAGAATGACATATGTAGATGCATGATGGAGGGAAATTAAGCTTGTGAGCACGTTTTCGTTTCTCCGTAGATGCTCTCGTCGCGAGCTGCGAGCTGCGCCCCCAAGGTCTATGGCCGGAGACGCGATGAGATGGAGATAGAGAGTCAGGCGCGGAAAGTTAAGCGGGATCTTATCTCTGGACATGAATCGGTTGGATCTTTGCGTGGATGATGCTGGGGAGGAGAAGAAGGCGCCGGTGAAGTTTACCTCGTGCTCGGGTCCCGAGGGAGGGTGGTGACGGCGGTTATCCCTGTTGCGGGGGGAGAGGGGTATGGGAGGGAAGGATGTGGTTTGGTAAGTGCATTGAGAATGCCATGTCGCGTGAGGTTCGAAATACCCAAAGAGGGAGATTCTGATGTAATAGTATTGGATGCGACAAGTGCCATCACGCGTGAAAGGGTACAAGGTCGAGATTATCTGCGTGGATGCTCCCGGGCTGCTTCGTTCGGAAAGCGATACTGACAAAGAAGAAAAAGTAAAACGCCAGTTCCGGTAAACTGAGAACTAATTCGAGAGGATTCTGGTCGGACTGGAAGAGAACTTGGTAGAAGAGGTGGTGGTGAGTCGTGACGGTGGTGTTCTATTCTATCAGGTGCAAGTGGACTGCACATCATACCCCTAGTTTTAAATCAGCTTCTCTGAATTCAATTGAATATTACACTCGCTATTAGTTGGAAAGAAAATGTTGATATTTACCAATTAACTCTTTCTACACACGCCTCATACTGTAATCCACTCGCACCTGACGGGATATCATTTTTTCCAATGAAGCGCGATATTGGAATAGATCTTGTTGTAGAACAAATGATGGAACACATTTTCATGAGTTTACCCAAAATATCAATAGTAAAGGGCGCGCAGGATGAGTTCGTGATTGGTCGCTGATGAATAGCCAGCCAGCATCCAAGGTCACTACAGCCCGATCAGGCTGCAAGATACACGTGAGCTGTACCCCTCGCAGCGACATTTTGCAATCTTACATCTGTCATCTTTCTTCAACCTCCATGACACGTTCATCTCAAGTCCATGGTGCATTGTCGCGGTGACGCTGTGTAACGATGAGTGGACTTTTCGACCGGTTTCGACGCCGTCGCTCGGGCCGAGAATCTCCACAACCGGAGGTACCCGCAACGGACCCGGCCCCACATCCGGAAATATTTCCATCGGGTATCAAGCTGCTCCACACCCCGGATGGAAGTGCCGCGGTCGAGTAAGTGTCATGCACTTGGCCGTCTATGCGAACAGTATCTGACGCCCTTTAACCTTAGCATCGTCTTTGTACATGGTCTGAAAGGCCATCGTGAAAGGACCTGGACTGCTCGCGACGCGTCGGAATCTTGGCCGAAGGCCCTTCTCCCCACTAAGATCCCCTACGCCCGCGTTCTCACGTTTGGATACGATGCGTCTGTCGTGGAATGGAAAAGAGCGGTATCAGAAGGTCGCATAGGGAACCATTCGTTCAATCTGTTGACTTCTTTGGCGAACTTTCGCGATAATGACGAGACTGTAAGCGACGGTCGCCGGGGTGATGTATGCGAGTACTGACTGCAAAAGAACAAACGACCAGTAATATTCGTTTGCCATAGTATGGGAGGCCTCGTTTGCGAAGACGTAAGTTGTCACTTGTCTACCCCAACCAGCCCCAGCTAACAACATCGTGGCAGGCACTTGTATCCTCCCGGCACCATTCAGAAGCACACCTTCGAGCCATCCTCGAGTCAACGAAAGGAATAGTTTTCCTTGGTACCCCGCACCATGGCTCAGAACTAGCGAATTGGGCCGAGAAGCTATCCTTATCAATCGGGTTAGTCAAGCAGACGAACACGAACCTAATCCGAGTCCTTCGAAGAAACTCGGAAGTTCTTGCTCGGATCCAAGACAGCTTCCACAACATGATAAAGGCAATGAGTAAGGAGGGTAAAGAAGCTATTGAAATCACCTGCTTCTATGAAGAGCTTCCTCTACCATCCGTAGGACTGGTAGGTACTAAGACACGCTTTCTGACCTACGTGACAGGTCGCTAACGCCAGTGTCAAATAGGTTGTCCCTCAGGATTCGGCAATACTCCCCGGATACATAGCAATCGGAATTCGAAATGACCATCATGGAATGACCAAGTTTGTCAGCGCAGAGGACCCTGGATTTATCGCTGTCTGCGCCGAACTTCGTCGTTGGACAAAGGGAATCACGACTCCTCAGTCTACTTTGAGCGGGGTTCCGAGGACCAAAAACCACGAAGTGGAAGCTGCTGTGGTGCCGAAAGAAATACTCGGAGACGTTAAAGGGCATTGTTAGTAGCTTCTTCAAGATTGATGAATGCTTTGGTCATTTCCGCTAAACAAGAGGATCAGTCGTAGTCCCTTTCACCCAAAACCTTGACTTCATTGGTCGTTCTGAAATATTGAAGAGAATGAAACGTGATTTTGCACACGACGAGAAAAATCAAAAAGGAAAGGGGAGATCGCGTGTCTCTCTTCATGGACTGGGAGGCGTTGGGTATGTCGTGACCTCTGATACGGTTGCTTGAAGAGTTCGTTTGTTAATGAAACCTCAGAAAGACACAAGTTGCACTAGCATATGCCTACTGGCTTCGGGAAATTCGCCCAGACATCTCCATATTCTGGGTATACGCTAGTAGTAGGGAACGCTTCCAACAAGCCTTCGCTGGCATCGCGGAAGAATGCGATATTCCTGGACACAAAAACCCCTCGGTCGACATTCTGTCCCTTGTCAAGACCTGGCTCCAGAAAGAAAAAAACGGTTTGTGGTTTCTGGTGATTGATAACGCCGACGATCCATACCTCTTCTTTCCTCAAGATCGAGCCGTACCAGCAACAGATTTCGGCTCCACACAATATGAAGCCGACATAGGTCTAGCGCATTTCATCCCGGAATGCAGCCATGGCTCAATCTTGATTACCACCAGGAACAAACAAGCAGGCATGAAGCTGTCTCCGGGGCGACCTCCGATCGAAGTGGGCAGAATGACCAATACCGAATCCGCACAGATGATCCGAAAGATGACAGGACATGAAGACCTGTCCCTCGAAACGGCTTCGACCTTGTCAAATCGTCTCGAAAGTCTGCCGTTGGCTCTAGCACAGGCATCGGCGTTCATATCGGAGAACAGTATTACAGTCGATCAGTATCTTCTTCATTTACACAGAGGAGATGAATCCATTGTTCCCCTGTTGAGTGAAACATTTCAGACAACAGGTCAAGATGCGATGGTTCCTCAAGCTGTGATGTTGACTTGGATGCCTTCTTTTGAACAAATCCGAAAACAAAACCAACTTGCAGGTGACTTGCTCTCTACCATTGCATTTTTTGACAATCAGGGAATCACCAGGAGAATGCTGGATATACCATTCCCGGACCCGTTCTGGAGCACCTTTGCACCAATTGCTCAAAGCCCAATTGATGAGAACAGCTGTTCGGATAATGAACTAGCCACGAGCAAAGGAGAGACGAACTGGGACGAAGGAGACCATAAAGGAGATGAGTCTGAGGGGGACGCAAGCGGAACATGGGACGAGTCTGACTCAGACGAAAGTGGCCCAGGCGGAGAAGAATCGAAAGAAAAGCAGCTGGAAGAGGAAGATCCATTTCAGCCGTGGAAACCAACACTTCCCCGTCGTTACAGCATTCCTTATTACCAATCACCCCCGCTTTACGACGTACCTCTTGAAGCCGATTTATCCATTCGAGGCTTCGATTTGCCTCGTGACACATCTCCGACGCTGGACAATGCCAATGGTGACCCTCCTCATTTGATTGAGTTTGAGAAGGCTCTTGGTATGCTGAAGGCCTTCTCCTTTATAACCGAGGGAAATGATAGAACCATCTCTGTACACCGACTCGTGCAGTTGGCGACCAAAGAATGGCTTAAGAGGGACGGCTCAGTCGAGAGGTTTGCAGCCCAGGCGTTATGCACATTTGTTAAAACGTTTCCGATTGCCGTATATGAACAGATGGGGACGTGCAAACGATTGCTCCCACACGCGCACACTGTCTTGAAGAACCGCAACATCAAAACACGACAAAACATGCGAGAAGAGGCTATCCTGTACGAGAATCTGGCTCGCTTCTACTTCAACACCGGCCAATCGAGTATTGTGATGCCTCTTTTACAGCACGCCCTAAAAAGAGTTACCAAGACTTTGACTGATTACGATGAGCGTCAGCTTATTTCGCAGATGATGCGCATGTTGGCAATTTCATACAGCGATTTGGGACATTCGACAAAAGCGAAGAAGCTGCTGTCAAAGCTGATGCCCCCCAACCACAGAAAGCATCTGAGCAAGACAAGATTTCCTCAAACGCTGCGTCTCGCAAGCGCATTGGCTGGGCAGTTTTACATCGACAAGGAATACAATAAAGCGAAGAAATTATTAAGAAAAGCAATTGAGGCTTGCAATGAAGACATTCGAGGACTGCTCTGTATAAAGGTAGAGCTTATGGTGCAATTGGCTGGTGTTCTGGTTTCTTCCGGCGAGTTGGAAGAAGCAGAAACCAAAGCTAATGAGGTGTTTGTTATCCTTCAGAAGACGTCATGTTACGGACTCGATCATCCGGTGTGTCTGAAAATCTTTAGGACTCAAGCGATTCTGTTCAGAAAACAAGGCAGGTGGAAGGATGCAGAAGCAAAGTGTCGTGCCGTTCTCAAGGGGCGGGACATTTTCTCAGATCATGCTCAGCCTTATTTGTTGCCAATCATGAATGAGCTGCAACTTGCTTTGCATCAGCGAAGTCGATTTCCTGAAGCCGAGGAGATGAGAGCTCAAATTGTGGAAATCAGAAACCAGATTGGGGGTCATACATACGAGAAGGAAGTAACTTACGTGATGCACACATCTTATCCTCAGGGAGGGGACCGCAAAGAAGCAGTTGAAGTCCCCACAGCGCAAGTATTCGACACAGCTGCAAGATATTTTGATTCTAGCCAACAGGAAGCGATCTTGGAGTTTATGAGGGATGAAGACTTTGGCTTATTCTACGGTTAAATCCCTATCGTGATGTGGAATTATTGTAAAGTGTTCACAGCAGTGAATCATGTGCCGTGCTTTTGCCTTTTGAACAATTTTAACTAGCTTCTGAGCTTCAATTGCACGACCTGGAATTAAACCTTTTGAAATCATGCACCTCTAATGCTTCTTATTCGTGTCCTCCGGAGAAGGCACCGCCGATGCTGTTGAGCTTTTGATCAACAAAGGCGCAGACGTGAATGTTGCAGACCAATGGGGGCAGACTGCACTCACGATGGCTCGTAGATACGGGCATGAGAAGGCTGCACGAATGTTAGTTAAAATGAGAGCTGTGAATAATTATGTTCAAACAGATGAAAGTATCGGGCCGAAGGCGAGGGAGCCTTTCGCAGATACCAGGCGCAGATACCAGTCGTAAGATCAATGAGCCGTCTAATGCAAAAGGAGTGACATTCCAAATTGCCTCGTCATTTCACTGCTGAGAATAGCATTGCAGACTCGGACGCTGCTCAAGGGCGGAAAGTCTTTTACCGCTTCTGATATCTCGATTATTTTGGCATCAATTTTACAGCTTACACACATATGATCATCGTTCGCGGGGACTCGTCTACTTGCAACGAGATCATTTGGATCATGCTGAGCCTCTTTACTTCTGACTTAGTGTCATTTTGTTTTGGAGTCCGACTCAACCCATAGAAAATGACAACATTGCCTGGCAGTGCTATCTGACTCCAGTAACTCGTTCACAGCCCGCGCACGATGCATTCTAGGGCAAAGTCTGCAGACCAAAATTTGTACTGCTTCCAGAGATCGCTGTCAACTAATGGCTCCTCAGGACAATTCTCCAGGGATGGAAGAGGCTGAACACGGCGGTCACCAGAAACATAAGTGCGGCATCGAAAATATAGATGTAGACTTTGCTAGCCATCAGCGATCGGTTGCTGCTTGTGACATACTCGGCAACTCTGCAGACTGATCGGACCACAATCAACATGCTTGCTTCATACAAAATCCAGCTAAAGGGTCTCCATCGCAGTGTAACCGAGCCGCAGGGGCCAATTGGCGATGTATTGATTCGGTGATGGATAAGGCAGATGAAGATAATGAAGGCACCGAAAATGGCAGTCTGTACGGCAAGGCCGGCGATAATGATGCTCTCTACGAGATCAACATCACTCAGCACCTTGGCGCGAGAAAGTATTGCGCCACTTGTAGAAGTCAGCCGAGATCATGCGTGGTTTCAAAGTACCAGGCCCGGAACTTGATCATCTGATGGACATGTAGGGTAAACGAGATGCCGATTGAATAGAGCGATGAAAATGCGTGCTGCTGGAAGAGACGGATCGTAGTGGTAGAAAAAGAATCCTCCAGGATCCTGCGTAGACAAAGCCATGGTTCGAAGTTGTTACGAGAAATAGATTTACAAATGTAACGAATAGAGTAGGTATGATTAATTCCTGTTGACGAGTTGAAGTTGCGATAAACAAGTTCACGAAGAAGAATAAGTGATGTGTCAGAATTCTTATTCCTTTTGACGTTGCTCAAAGTCTCTCCATAACTCATTCAGCAATTTCACCCCGCATAAAAGGTCTGTGAACAATTTTCATCCGCGGATGCTTTGTATCTAGAATTGCGGCTATGGTCGTGCCTTTGGTGATATTGATTGATGTCTTGGTGTTTGCATCCCGCCCAAAATATGGTTGAATTCTTATGCGGGCGTCTTTCTGGGGTACCCCTGTTCCTCCCGGCAGCGCCAGACTACCTATGCGTTTATCTAGGCGGGTCGACTTGCGAGTGGCTGGCAAAGTCCGCTCATCTCAACTAATCTCCGCAACTCTATCTGATATAAGAACGACCGGTCGGATTCGGATTCACAAGCCTACTTTTTGCGGACCTCTTTCAAAATTGAACCTCAATCATCTTCTTTGGATCTGCATTCTCGCTCACCTTGCTCGGCTAAGTTTCTCAATATGGTAAGACTTGGACACAAGAAGTCGCGAAACGGTTGCTCTACCTGCAAGCAGAGGAAAGTCAAGGTACGTCAAACGAACTTTGAACCACTCAAACTCGAGGCTTCGGGAGCTAATGCTGCTCCAGTGCGATGAGAGGAAACCATGTGGCGCCTGCGTTAGACAGCAAATCACCTGCAGCCTGGCCCCATCTCCCTTCGATGGGGCCTTGCCGACGACACAAGGCCATTCGGGTTCGGACCTGGAAAGTCGGGGATTCTCGCCAACCCTGGTGTCCAGCGGCGCATTCGGAGCCTCTTTGACAACGCCGTGCTCCTTGGCGGCCGAGTCCGCCGCCGAAGCCGCATCCGAGCGGTGGTCTAGCTGGACAGCGGACCTCAGACTGATGAATCATTTTACGTCTGTGACCTCCACTACCTTGCCCGGCGCCAATCTACATACATGGAGAGATAAGGTGACAGAGGTGGCAGTGGACTATCCGTTTCTCATGCATCAGATCCTCGCAGTCTCCGCATTCCATCTTGCAACCCTCGAGCCACAGAAGCGACAGGAAAATCTTTCCCTGGGTTTACAACACCAACAACACGCGATTCGCGGAGTTTACGCCGAGATTTCCAATGTCACTCCGCAAAATTGTCACGCACTATTTGCCGCATCATCAATGTTATTCATCGGTTCATTCGCCGCGTCCAGCCCAGCATTACACAGCCCTGTCCAGTTGGAGATGGGCCACATCCTGGAGATTTTCACCCTTATCCGAGGAGTCAGCGGTGTCCTGACTTCAGCCAAGGAAAACGTGCGGTATGGCATATTAAGGGACTTCATGCAATGCGACCGGTATTCTGGAGATAGTAAGCTATTGGAATCTTTACTGCTGAGCGTTACGGGTGCTGTTGATAAAATGGATCCAGACGATGTGAGTCCCGAGGTCAAAAGTCTTGTTGAGGGCGCAGTTTCTGGATTCCGAGATAGCGTCGGAATAGCATCAGCGACAACTCCGGCGTTGAACGTTGCTGTGTCTTGGCCAATGGTCCTCAGCAGTGGATTCATGGCCCTTTTGGAAGCCCAGCACCCAGCAGCATTGGTTGTGCTCGCACACTACTGCACTATTCTTCACGAGGGGGGCCTTCATTTCTGGTTCATGAAAGACTGGGGAGGTCATCTCATGAACACCATCTTGAGACCGCTTACTTCGAAGTGGCAAGAGTTGGTTGATTGGCCTATGAACTACATCAGTCAAGGCGCTCCTGGCTCTAACAAGAAAGTTACACAGGATGATTTCGGGTGGGTAAAGCCGTGCTAGAGAGTATGATGGTCAGAATCTAGTCTTTCATGCTAACGCCTTGGATGTCACTGGTGTGCTGAACGTCACCAGAGAAACCTAGCTCCACTGGCAATTGCAATACATGCCTGACTTGCTTCCAAATGTTATACTAGGTTGTATGTACATACCTGTCTGCCAAGAAACAACCAAATTACGATTGACTGACTGAAGCGGACCATCAAGCACCTACGAATGGGTGCGCCACCATGAGTAGAGGCGGACCGAACCCGAAATGCTACGTAATCCATACTCGCCGCAGGAGGCAGTGCTTCATTACTTTTGGTCTCTCTTTCATTGACTTGGCGATATGGAGCATCCCGAAGTTGAGAAGTTGTCGTCGAGGGGCTGTCACATTCGCACTGCAAGCGTAAGCCCGGGTAATTAACTAACACGGTTTACAGATCATGCAATTCCTTGGCGTTCGTATTGACAATGTCGACATCCGGAGAAGCTGTACTTTCGAACAACTTGTGATTTATATTTAAGAGGCAAAGTGTCACCGTCAAATGCGGTTTGTTCACGTGCACACAACACTGAAACAAGTATTTCAATAACCTTCAACGACACCACACCCCCTCTTCTTACATCAATATGCTCAGATTACTTGCGCTTTCTCTCACATTGCTGCCGCTGTTCGGCGGACACGCAGCAGCTGCCCCATCGCCTTCACGTTGCACCCCAACCGCCAGCGAAACCTGGGAAGTCCTCAGTCCTCTGGCCGGGGGCCTTCGTCAAGAGCACGCCGCCGTGGCTCTCGGTGAAGACATCTACGTCATCGCGGGAATCGAGCCTGACGCAAGTCAGCCTACCGGGGTCTCAACCATTGACTCAGTGGAGAGATACAACGTCCCGAAAGACGAGTGGTCCTTCGTTGCTCCCCTGCCCATTCCCATGAACCACGCCAACGCCATCTCTACCAACGGAAAGATCTACGTTCTCGGCGGGCTCTCCGGCGGCGCCGCCTTCCGGGCGCTTCCGAACTGCTACGAGTACGATCCTATGGCCAACCAATGGACTGAGCTCCCGTCCATGCCTCAGGGCACAGAGAGAGGCAGCTCTATCCTTGGCGTGTATGGTGACAAGATCATCGTCGCCGGCGGCATCAGTTTGCTCGAGCTGGGAGCCGACGGGCTCCAGGAGACCGTCGACATCGTATCATCCTACAACATCAAGACGCAGGCATGGGAAACTCTGCCCAATCTCCCCGAAGGCCGCGAGCATGCCGGTGGCGGCGTCGTCGGCAACAGCTTCTACGTAGTCGGAGGCCGCTTCCGAAGCCAAACCGCAGTCCGCGATACAGTCTACGTCCTCGACCTCAAGACGCTGCAGTGGAACGAGCGCGCGCGCATGCCCACGCCCAGGGGAGGAGTTTCCGTGGCTATTCTCGGGCAGCGCATCTACACCTTTGGAGGCGAAGGAAATCTGGATCCGGAGGCTGGCTTTGTGTTCAATGAGACGGAGGTGTACGACACCCGCGGCGACTGCTGGGAGAAGCTCCGGCCGATGAACACGCCCCGCCACGGCATGGCGGCGGTTGCGTTCAACGGGAGCATTTACACGCCTGGCGGTGGCATTCGCGACTTTGGAATCGTTGATAACATGGAGGTCTTGCATCCTGGCTCGTTCAAGTGGTAATCGGATCAAACGCCGCCGCCCCTTTTCGCTCGTTGGGATCAGCGGGCGTGCATGAGCTACGGAGGAAACTAGCCGCACACCATCCAATCCAGCTAGCCATCAATTTATTTGTTCCCCAAATTTGACTGTCCTTAGACGAAGAAAATTCAACATTCGCTATCTCCAAAGATTTGAAGCAAGTTGAGGGTGCAAACTCCGCAACATGGACCAGGATCAATCCGAACCCGAGATAACCTTAAGCTACCCCTGCAACTCGACAACTAGGATGCGGACTTTGACTTGAGAGTAATTATAGATGAATTGAAGCGATGTTGTTGAGCGTATGCTGCGAGCCTCGTTTGCCTTATATTTGTAGCTTATCCGCCCGCTTCCATCGTAGTCCTTCTCGCTGAAAGGGTTCAAACCACCGCCAGAACCCTGACGCGACTAATCGCGTCTCAGCCAGCAAAATGCAAGCCTGGCAATACACCAACATCACCAAAACCCTCGAGAACTCCCTATCACTCAACAAAATCGCCACTCCACCAGACGCATCCTCTCTCCCCAAGGACCATGTCCTCATCGAAGTCATCACAGCGGGCATCAACCCCGTCGAGTACAAGCTCCCAGAGATCCCCGTATTCGGAAAGCTCATGATACAGCCCCGATCAAGTCCAGGCCTGGACTTCTGCGGCCGTATCAAGGCCAAAAATGGCGCCGACGACTTGTCCGAGGGCCAGCTTGTCTTTGGGGCCCTGAGCATCGGAACCAAGCTGCCCAGGTTTGGCAGCCTGGGCCAGCTGATGATCGCTCCGTGCTCCCACATCGCGCCTCTTCCAACTGATGTCGACCCCGATGATGCGGCTGCTTTGGGCACGGCTGGGTTGACGGCGTTTCAGTCACTTCCCAAAGAGAATTTGGAGCCTGGCTCGAAGGTATTCATCAACGGCGGGAGCGGCGGCGTTGGCTCCTTCACGATCCAGTTCGCCAAAGCCGTTGGTGCATACGTCGTTGCGACCTGTTCCACGGCAAATGTCGACCTCTGCAAGAGTCTCGGAGCAGACGAGGTGATCGACTACCGAACATCTGATGTCCTGGCCGAACTGAAGGCAAAAGGGCCCATCTTCGACGTAGCAATCGACAATGTCGGCAGCCCGGAGTGTCTGTATGAGAGGAGTCCGCATTTCCTCAAGGCCGACGGCGTTTTTGTCCAAGTTGCCATGCAGAACTCCGTGATCAGCATGCTGCGCAGGAGCATGCTACCAGGTTTCCTGGGCGGTGGAAAGAGACGGTTCCAGACGGTGAGGGTCAGCCCCAGTCGAGAGGACTTGGAACAGATCGGTCGCTGGGTAGTCGAGGGGAAGGTGAAGGTGTTGATTGATGAGAAGTTTGAGTGGATCAACGCGCCGAAAGCCTACGCGAAGCTAAGGCTGGGAAGAACGACGGGGAAGATAATCGTCCGTGTTGGCTCAGCATGAGATAAAAGGCCTGTAATGATTTTGATTTGAATAATGGTTGTTTGTTGCCTAAGCCATGCTTTTTCAAATCAGGGTGGCTAAGATGATTGAAAAGAAAAAATACTTCACTTGACGTCTCACGTCTGAATAGTCGATGATTGGGCAAAATGCTAAGCATTTCCAATTTTGTTACATTGTCTTAAACTGAATGTATTGTTATTACTAGCGTCCTCTCTCGTTGTCTGCCTATTGTTATTTGAGATATAACCGCCATCCCCTGAATAGTAAAACTTTCCACTCTAGCATCTTTAACAGCATGTTAGCTAACTTTAACCCTCGCCATGCTGGTTTCCGCTTTCTATGGCGCTCTATCTTCCGTATATAGAATCATTTGATGATCTTGAAATAAGGCGAACTTTCACACCGGGCTCCAGCAAGGTATTACTCAGATCTCGCGTAGAATTTTCTAGATGTCTATCACCGATCGATGAGGTACGATTTGACGTAGTGACAACTCGAAGCCTCTGTAAACACGGCTACTGGGACCTCGAATGGGAGCAACGAACTTCATTACAAGACATCCAATCGCCTGGAAAAGAATCGCTTGGCAGCCTGTATCAGAGGCTTTCCAATAACCTTCTCGATACCTGAATAAGCTATGCCATTCCGTATGAAACATGAGGAGGAAATAGCATGACGGGAACGTGGTGACGGGGACATGATTCTAGGTTCACGTTACACAACGAGCACACCTCGCCTTTGAGTTCAGGAGCTTCTTTCGACGTAACTAAAGTGACAGAATGTTCCTCTAATGGCTGCGAAATTCGACTGCAGCCTTAAGCGTCATGGCTGACAGCCTCATCCAGCAGCCACGATCAGTGGGCCAATGACGCGAGAGTGATCGCGGGTGCTCGTCGCATGCAACGTGCTCCCAAACTCTCGTACCCAGATCGAAGGTGGCGAAAGCGGTTCGTCTGGTCCATCCTAGCGAGATCTGCATCTAACACCGACGAGATCTCATGAATCGCCGATAACTTAGTCAATAACCTACTTAGTCATTCACAGACAAAACATGCGCCTTCCACGGACGGAGAGACGGCTTCTGGAAGCTTACGAAAATGCAGGTGGGTCCCCCTCATCAGCGAGTATCACATTGCCAGTCTGAAATCGGGGGCACGGGCGATGACGTCGACGCGGATTTGATGTCTGAGAGAGACTTGAAGCACGGCCCAGGAATGACGAATGACGAATGACGAAGACTTTTCAACGGTCCTCGTGCCGCTTGCCCGTTGGGCGCGTGAGCGTCCAATGACTCGGACGCATTCCTCCGATGCCAACGGCCCGTTTTGCATGTTCAACATTTTTTGGTGGTCGTGAGACCCTCCTGTGTCACTCCGGGCCAACAACAGTCGAGTAGCACCGAGACAGTGTCTCGATCGAGCCCGGTAGCACCAGGCAGGACAGACGTGCCTCACAGATGGAATCGTTCAATGTTTTGCAAAACCGGAAGATGGCAAACACGCTGTTTCCACAACCCACGGACGCGATCCAGAACATCGCTTGGTGAGTGCAGCATGAAAATCCGGGCGGGAAGGGTAGCATCACGTTTCTCCCGAGGCGTATCAAAAGATCAGCGAACACCCGCGGGATGTGCGTCAGCGCATCCCGAGTGCCCCCGGGAACGGAACGGCAGAGCCGCAAGAACGAATAACTCAGCGGAGAACGCGCCGTGCCTGGCTCGTGCTCCCTTCTGCATCGCGGCCCCCCCCTCCCACTGCTACATGGCTGTTTCTGACCCCCTTTCATGGGCGGCCTTCGTCCCTACGGGCTCGACGGCATTGCAGAGGTTGGCACCCGCGGAGGAGGCTCAGGGTGGGACCCGGCAAAGTTTCTGCCGGTGATTGAGGGAGAGTTGGGCTCGTCAGCGATACCGATTGGGACATGGAAGCGACAGCCTCTGCGCGTGCAGGTTTCCGACCACACGTCGCTGGAGTACTGTAGCAGGTTCTAGCTGTGTGGGTTGTTGGTGATTTGTGGAGGGAGGGACGGGAGGGAGGAAAAAGTAGAGACGTGCCATCCCACGAGTGTGCGCGTGTGGGCGAGAAACGAGGTTTCGATAGCCGTGGTGATGTGTCGCGAGAGCATGATCGCGAACGACACATTACCCCCTTGGATCACGAAGATCCTCCTCGTCGAGACAAGCCACAGCCCACGCCCACGCGTCCATCATCCTCCTAAGCCCGCCGAGCCCCCCGTCAAGTTTTGGAAGATCATATGCCCAGCCGTCACGCCCGCGGCCTCCCTCAGTGAAGGTGTCGCCCAAAGATCCACGAACGACAGCATTGGCCCCGAAAAGGAAGACAGGAGGGAAATCTCCCAGATCAGCGCCAGGGATCCCGCCGATTAAACACTGACGGGGTGTGATTGTGGACTGATGACTGTCAATGCAGTGGATATCGAACACAAGCCACCAATGACAAAGGGGGAAAGGGAGGGATTTAGGATTTTGGGTCGTCGTCGAGGTTGTTCTGAATCCGAAATCTGTCAACCCAGGATGTGGCCCGCATTCCTCACAGTCCTGCGTATCCGCAGAGGCACCAAGGTTTTGTCGAGTGACAGGCTGACAGCGGAGCCCCTGTCTCAGCCAGGCACGCCTTTGCTGCGCCATGTGCGTGAGAGACTCGCCAGCCAGGTTTCGCCCTGTCGTGAGCCCTTCCCCCAGGCCACGGTAATCAGCGCACCCCTCCCACTAGCCGGCGCACCCCATCTGTGGCGTATGAGGCGTGTGCCTCTGATAACCAGCAAAACCAGCGAAATACTAACTTAAGCGGTTAAAATAGAGGCCTCTAATTAACCTAGATTAGCTAGAGGATTAGCTAAGGTTTCACTAAGTTATTAAATAGTTTAAAAACTCCTTAGATTTAAATAATTTAAAACTTTATAGCTAGTTTTTTTAATTTTAATTAAAAAGCTATTATATTATATAATTTAATAGCTATAAATAAGTATAGTATTTAAATTAATAGCTTAGCTAGTTTTAATACTACTTAATTATTTATAGTTTAACTTCTTCTTTTTACTCTTAAGTTTAAATAGCTTCTACTTTATTAATAAGTTAATCTAACTTACTTTTAAATTTAAGGTTAATATTAATATTAAACCTAAATAGTAATAAGTTATATATATCTTACTATATATCTAACTATATAAATTCACCTTTAACCTATAAAATAGACTTAGTTAGTATAAATAAGCATTATAATAAGCTTAGTAGTATATTAGTAATTAGATTAATTACTTTAATATTAGTAAGCTTAATAAAGTTATACTTAAATATAGTAATAATATAACCTAAATAATAGTAATACTAAGTATTAAATTTATATATATTATTACGTTTAATAACTTTAAGGCCTTCTTAAGTAGCTATAACTTTACTAAGAGTAAGTAGTATAATTAATAGTAGTATAAATAAGGTTTCTACTATCTTAGTAGTAGCCTTAAATTTAAAGTAGCTAATATTACGCTTAGTAGATATATTAATTAGTATATTAATAACCTTTTTAATAATATAGTGTTAACCTTTAGCTTTAACTTTAAGAGGGTTAAATAGGATAAGCTTATTAGTAGCCTTATAAAGGCTTTATAGTTAGAATTAATATAAGTAAATCTTCTTAGGTAGGACTTTATAGCTTTCTACTTTATAAAGCTAGAGGATATAGTAGTAAAGTAGTCTAAAAGTCTTATTAATTAGGTAAAGCTTATAGTTACTTTTAGGCTTAAACTATAAGCTATTTTAGCTTTTAGCTAGTACTTTAGCTAGCTTATTATATAAGTATTAAAATACCTTATAATAGAGATAGCGCTAAATCTTATTAAATAAGTTATTATATAAGTTATTAAGTATTTTACTTTTTTAGGTAAGTATATAGTTATTAATCTCTTAATCTTATACTTACTAGAAAAGCATAAGTTTCTAGAATATATTCTTAAGGTTGAGTTTATAGTTATGACGCAGCCCCCCCACAAAAAGACTACGGCAAAATTCACCTTATATGCGGGCATAATTCTGGAAACACTATATGGGCACCTTGACTTATGCCCTCTACTAATTAAGGAAAACAGTATAATATTCTTAAGGTTATTAGTATAATAATAGATATATAGCTTAAGGGTAGTATAAAATAACTTAATAATTAATATAGTAATATAGCTAAAATAAGTAATCTAATTAGTTTAATATACTATAAGCTTTTTATACTAAAATATAACCTAAGTAGAGAGGATATAATTAACTATAGCGTTAAGGTAGTTACTATTCTTAAATACTACTTTTTATTAGTTATATATATTAATAGTATTAATATATAAAAGCTAATTCTAATTATTAATAAACTACTAAAATTAAAAGTACTAAGTAATATTACTATTATTATTCTTTATAATAAGAGGGAAGTAATACTTAGTTTTAGTAAGAATATTTATATTAATATACTAGTAGTAGAGAAGGTGTAGTATATTATAGAAAGTAAAGCTAGCGTTAAGTGCTTTAATAAAGGTAAGTTTATAATCTATATAAGTAATATATAGGTATTTAATATTAAACTTATTAAATAAGCTAATAAAAGTATTTACTACCTATTTATAGTTATGCTCCTTCTTACTAAATAAAAAATAAGAAGTAACTTAGAAAGCCTTACTATTATTAGTAGCACTATATATATTAAAAAGTAGTATATTAAAGTAGTTAGTTTTATAAGTTAAATCTATTAATAGAACGTCTAAATAGCGCTTAAGGTAGCTAACTACTATATAAGGGGCTATAAAGAGGGTAGTAATATAGCCTTCTTTATCCTTTTTAAACTTAAATTAATACTTATTAATATTTTATAGTTAATTAAAAAGCTACTTAATTAGTATATGCTTAGTAAGTTTTTAATAGTAGTAATATATAAATAGGTTAATAAGGTCTTAATAAGTAATAGAGATAAAATTAGGGCTTTTAGAGTGTATAGTATTAA